TTTGTGTGTGTGTGTGTGTGTGTGTGTGTGTGTGTGTGTGTGTGTGTGTGTGTGTGTGTGTGTGGAGCTCACCTGCGCGTGGACCAGAGCGTCGTTGAAGACGATGAACCAGTTGACGGAGAATCTGCCGGCGTTCTGCAGCGTCAGCGCTTTGTTGCTGCTCTCGCAGATGAGCCGGCGACAGGGCCTCCTCAGAGAGTCCTGTCGGGAACAGAGCGTTCAGCAAAGCGTGACATCACGTGACCCCTCCAGGACTCATTGTGAAGGACACACACACACACTCTGGGAGTTTACCGTCATTTTGCCGGGGAAGGTCTTCCAGAAGTGGAAGGTGTATTCGGCGTCCTTCCTCTTCCTCTTCAGTTTAAGAGCTAAGGCTTCGAATTTGGAGCAGCTGTCCTGCAGCCTCTGGTAGTCATCGGAGCTCTGAGCGAACACACAGAAATATTCAATGTAGAATGTGCTAAAAAGAGGCAGATTCTGGTTCTACTAATAGAAATATACGCACATTTACAAAGACTTGAGCTCAAAATCTCAACATTTTGAAAGCATTGAAGATGAATTATTATAAATTCTTTCCAACTCATTTTTTAGAATAATCTAGAGAGCTTGTTGTGAGTTGTATGTGGACTAGGAACTATTTTCTTTCTACCGAACTAGTAGCATGGATTAAAAAGTAGCACTATATGTAAGAGAAACAATTGATGCAATTATGATTTTGGGGTGAACTGTCCCTTTAAATGTAGGAAAGAAAAACACTAATGCTTGCAAAATAATCTTCAAATGAAAAACATAAAGTATACAACCACATGTGTGTATCTTCCATCAGTGGTCGATTATAGTCAAATAACATTTCAAACATTACAGGCATACAGACAGAAGTACAGCATGCTTGTGTTTGTCTGACCCACCACTTCAAAGCAGGTTGCCAGTTTGAGCAGCAGGCGGCCGTACTCGTGCATGTGGCGAGTCGGGAGGTAGAAGAGCGCCCCCAGCAGGTCGGCCACGGTGGGGGTCTCCTCGCTGCACTCAGACAGCTTCTTCAGCAGCTCGGGACTCTTCCCAAAGAAGTCTCTGCAGAGGAAATCAGTAAGAGTTCATCATGTGATTTACTCAGCATTTACTGTGTGTGTGTGTGTGTGTGTGTGTGTGTGTGTGTGTGTGTGTGTGTGTGTGTGTGTGTGTGTGTGTGTGTACTCACATTGAGGGTTTGGTCAGGGTCTGGAAACCCCCCATCACTTGCAAGTTGCCCACAGCGCTGCAGTACCTTTCATTTGAGAGGCAATATTACTTTTAAAATAACTTTTTAACTGTTTACAAGTGCTTCACAAAGATATGAAAAATGAAAACTAACATGTCATGAATAAAGCAATGAATAAAAAAAGCCTAGGTTAGAAAAAGGAAAGCTTTTAAAATATAGTAAATTAATTTAAAGTACATCAGGGAAGGCTCTTTGAAACACGTATGTTTTGGAAAGGCACTAATATGTTGTTTTTGAACGTTACATATTCTACTGTACACATACTATAGATTTATAGCACTTGAATGTGTTCATATGCAGCAGAAAGAACAAGAAAAGCCTGAAAAGATGTTATTTTTTGCTTCAAATGTCTCTATTTTTGAAAGCTTACTCGCTGTAAGAGTCGAGGAAGATGTCGACGTGTTCGAGGACGAGGAGGCTCTTGACGTCACGGACGCGCCGCAGGTTCCCGGTGAGGCTGGCGGCGTGCTGTCCGGTCAGGTGACACAGGAGACTGAACCTACCCGCCACCGTCTGCAGCAGCCCGAGGACCACCGGGCCCAGGGCCGAGCTCAGGGACTCTGGAGGAAAGACAGGCAAGGAAATATATTTACCCAAAGAGATTGAGAAATATGCTTCTCGGCGTTTTTTCTGTGTTGTCCAGTACCTAGCTCCAGCAGGGGGCGTATTATCTGAGTCTTGATGTTGCTCAGCTTGCAGTAGAACTTCCTCTCGGCGGCGGCGAGCTCGTGGAGGCTGGCGATGAAGCCCATCACGTTCCTGTCCAGCAGCACCACGCAGCGCTGGCCGCCGGCAAACACGTTGCTCACATAGCCGAGCTGTAAACACCAGAGAGACACTTTCACATGGAGCGATTGTTTGTTTTGCATTTATTCTTTTTAAAGTCCAGTAACTTTGTGCTTACGTCAATGCAGAAAGGGAGCAGTACAGGCTGCCGGGTGTAGCCCCCAGCCCTCTGCTGCTCCTCCTCCGCCCCCTCCTCCTCCTCCTGTTGACCCTGCTCCTTGGCGTGGCTCTCCTCCGCCCCCTCCTTCACCTGCTGCCCACTGTAGTAGATGATTGGCCGGTAGCAGTCTCCGTCTGCGAGCAGCAGGGTGTGTTTCTCTCCGGCGCTCACGTCCCAGACCCGGATCCCCTCTGATAGCT